TTTTAGGTGTCCTTTGCCTTGATTTCAATGCCCTTTTTAGGCACTGTTAAAGTTTTGACCAATAAATTTTAGATGAAAGTTCCTGGTGACACATACATTTAGAAGATGTGTCACCTTTGGAAAGGAAGTAAATCTGGGGAAAGATGCGATCACATCCTTCCATTTTTTTTTACTAAGTGTTGGGAAAATTTTTTTTATAGAATATGTGAAATTTAAGTGTTATTCTTAATTAATTTGATATATTTTGTAGTGGTTAATTAAAATTTCCATCTCATTTGGTTTCTCACAATGAAGACCTTCAAGAACTAGCAGGATATGGAGGAGTTACTGCAGGTTTCTGGTGAGAGCCTTGCAGAACAAGGAATTAACGTAGAAATGGAAATTAGTGATTCTGAAAACGAAGAACCCAAAGAATTACTCACACATTTCCTTAGTAAAAGTTTGGTAACGATAACTGAAATTGTTGATCAAACTGTAGCGAATGATCCAGATTTTGAAAGGAGTGCAAAAGCAAAATGAGTTGTTTTGGATGTGATCTTCTGCTACTGACATTTGTTTAAGGAAAGAAAAAAAGCCACAAATGAAACTATATGACTTTATCACAAAAAACAAGAATTTCAGAAAAGTCAGGACATTCATCACAAAAAACGAACTTTACATTTTTGTTCATATGTTTATGTCTTATTTAACATATACTATTGATATTATGCAAATTAATATAAAAATATTTAAAATTAAAGTAAAGTCTGTTTATTTTTGGTTGCGTGCTCCCCTTTCCCTATTTACTCTGTGTTAAAATGAGTTAAGCTGGGTCTTACTGTACTCTATTGAATGATGTTTTCACTTTTTCACCTGCAGCCTTACACTTACACCAACACTGGGCAAGTTGTGATAAATTGTGTAAAAGTCAGAAGTCTTCTCAAGGCACCACCAACTCATCTTTGCTATGTCTTCTATATTTGATGAGAAATGACTGTCCTTAAGTTTGGGGAACAGAAAAAAAATACAGTAAGCAGGGCTTGGACTGTAGGTTGATGAAGCAAAACTTCATTGAACTGAAGCTTCTCCATGCATGTTTTCTTGTTTGTGGAGATGAGTATTGCATGATGAATGACTGATGTCTTGTCAACATGATTCCTGTGCAGCCATCAACATAATTTTTTGAGGCTGTAAATGTATTATTGTGAATTGGTAGTAATGTCAGAATCCAAACATTTAAGATGGATGAATCCATCATATTCCCAGAAAATGATCATCAAGACTTTTCATGCTGAATGAATTTCTTGGGTTGCAGCAAACCCTTATGCCTATACTTCATGTCAGTGCTCTGCAATCTTTTCTCATGTACAGAACATGTAGTTACATGTACAAACATATAGGACATGCACTAATTTTTATTAATAATGACCAGAACTTTATGCGTTTGCATAGAAGCATATGTGAAATGTATTTAGGCTAAATTTGTTATAAATGCATATTTCCAGTTTTTGATGAAAAATTTCATATTTGGTTCCTTTTTTTTTTATCGTAGTTTATTCCAGAAATATGTCCAAAAAATTATCAGTTCAATTCCAATGGGATTTTACTCCATAAAATTTGAGCATATGTCAGGCACGGCATCCCCTTTAACCAAAAATAGTCAAGCCTTTGTAATTGAGTTTTTAAAGCTGTGATATGTTTGGTTTTATTACAGCTGATAACAATAGGAAAAGTAAAGACATCCATGTATATTCAACTAAAAAAAGTTTATTGCTGAATTTTAAAATAAAATTTTTAGCATCAATGGCAGAGTTTTGTTATGTTGACCATTTTGGAAGGCTATAAATGTGAAAAGGAAGTTTCAGATCCTGCATCATATTGACACTTTGGTGCATAAAGCAGCTCTGAATAAATTCTGCAAACAAAATTTCTTTTCCACTGAAAATAATTTATTAACCAAATCCCTTCTTATACAGGAAAGCAATCCCAATTTATCTTGGACTTGACAAATACTTTTTTGGCAACAAAATCCCTTTTCACAAACTGAATAATCCCATATTCCATCAATTTCTGGAGAAATACACCCAAGAAAACATACCTGATGAATCAACAATTAGGAAATCTTATCTATCAAAATGCTATGAAGACATGTCAAGTTGGATAAGAGCAGCTGTGACTGGCAAACACATCTGGATATCTATTGATAAAAATCGAGACTTGACATTGTGAGCTGTAGGAAATGAAGTCATAGGAACACTGGATAAAGATGGTCCTGGTATGACTTTTCATCTTTGTTCTGAAGTTTTGGAAGTGACCAACTAAATGACAATAGCAAGTTTGTTTGAAAATTCCATAGAAAGTCTTTGGCCAGAAAGAATAAAGTATAATTTTTATCCTTTTGTTTTTGACTGATACATGGTTAAGACATGCAAGGGATTGCAAGTACTCTATCTGAAAATGTTGCATTTTACATATCTAGTCCATGCTCTTTATCAAGTTGCTGAAGAAGCCAGAGCAGCTTTCAAAGATGTGGATTCTTTAATATCAAAGGTGAATTCACTAAATGTCTAGCTCAAATTAAATTTTTTTAAAGAATGTGAACTTAATCTCATATTACCTCCAAAGACAGTTCTTTCTTTCTGGGGAGCATGGATAGAAGCTACCATTTATTTTGCAGACTACTTCAAGAAGGTAAAATGGATTCTGAGGAAGCAGTGTCTATTGCAGTTGAAAAAGATGAATTTTCAAATTCCTTAATCCAACAAAATTTTGTAGAACTGTTAACTGTCACTAGGTTTCTACTTGCTTCAATTACCAGTTTGGAAACAAAAAATCTTCCATTGAGCAAAGTGATTGAAATTGTGGACAAAGTATGTAACATGTTACTGGAAAAAAATAGCTTATCTAAAAGGTTTTAGAAAATGCTGCAGGGGATTCTGAACACAAACCCAAGATTTTTGGAGCTATCAATTATATCCATCATTCTACAAGAAAATGGAGGCTGTATTTCTGATCTAAAACCTGAATTTCTGATCAAAGAATTAATATTTTTTAAATACATACCAATTAAATAAACTTGCATAGAAAAAAGTGTCTTTAGATATAAGTTTCTATTTTCTGATAAAAGACAAAGGTTCAATTTTGAAAATTTGAAAATGTATTTAGTGTACCACTGCAACTATTAACTGTTCAGGAGTTTAGTATCAATAAATGATTTAAGTTGTATGCCAAATGACTGCTGGATTAAATCAGGCTACTTTACTGCTATTATTTTTAAGTACTCGATGATGGTTATATAAAAATTAAATGTGTCTGGAAGGAAGGATCAGGGCGGAGGTCTACATAGCATAACTGGCAATACATCCACACAGTAAGCAGGAGTTATAGGTTTGAGCCTGCTCCAGGCTGATTCTTTTCTCCCACAATATTCTAAATTATTTATTAAATGTTAATTTAATTATAATTATTAAATTTAATAAGAGATGGTGCCTAATGCATATCTCTAGTACCAAATTATTTAGAATTTAATTGAAACTAATAGCAGTAAAGTAGCTCAATTTAATCTGGCAGTCATTTGGCATATTATTAAAATATCTGGCTTTAGGATGTTTATATATGTATGATTTAAGTTGTCATTTTCTATGCTCATGATATTCGTAAATCACAATTTAAAATTGTATATTTCTGGCATTAAAGCACATAAATGTATCCATATTTTGGCAATTATAAATGCATAATATTCCAAGCCTTACCTTTATGAATTATTATTTAGTATCTTTACATATTGAAGTTGTTGTCTATTAATGCAATACTAACATATGACAATTGTATTCTTTCATAACAAATGGATATTGAATAGAACTGAAACTCCTTTTTACATTTGTCAAATTTTCAACAGTAGATAGTGGTAATCCTTCCCAAGAGATGATATAGTTTTATTGTGTTTCCAAACTTTATGTGAAAATTCTATTCCAACAGAAACACTAACATATTCAAAACTAGTATATTTTAAATTTTTCATTTGGATTTTCATTTCTGAAAAAATAAAATTTTATAATTTATTTCTTATTGCTATTTCTAGACTGTAAAATATATAATTCAGCAAGATATACAATAAATTCTATTCACGTATAATAATCATCAAAGTCACTAGTTAACACTTCTTGGAGTCATTGGACATAGTTGAACTATGCTTTCTCATTGATTTCTGATTCATAAGTATTGGAAAAAAATCAAGATGATATAGTTTTTATTAGGCATAGTACATAATGATCTTTGAAAAAGATAAAAAAAGTCTGTAATTAAAAAAAGGTTTCGTTGGAGTTTTATGATTATTTTTTAATGTGTTAAATACTAAAATTATCAGTTTATGCTATTACCCTTACCATATCATTAATTCCCAATATTATTGTTACTAGAGATTTTATTATACTGTAATCCAAAAACAGTCATGAGTTTATAAAGCATTTCCATACTTCTTAAATTCAACAAATGTCTCATCAAGCATATTCTTAAACTTTAATATAATAAATTTAAAAATTTTCTTTTCTATTATATGTGTTTTTAACATTAGGAACTTTCTTTGGAAACAAATTTTAAGATATATCATTTGATCCCATTTTGTGGATATAAAAACTGATTTGCTTTGTTTAGCATTTATAAATTGATAATTTGAAATCTTATGAAATTGTTTTAGGATTCATTATTACCATAGAGCAATGTATTTAAGGTTTATAGAATTTATTATACAAGGATTTTAACAATAAATACAAATAATATATTTGTGGTTTGCAATAAAAAATTAATTATGATTTCATTTTAATTACTATATTTTATTTCTTTACTGCACCTGTTATAATTTTTCATTTTAAAGCAAGTTATTTGTTGGATGTTATAATGTCCCACAATAAAATAAATTTTCAAATATAGCATTTGTTATAATTCTTCTCTCTTTTTTTATGAATATTGTGTTATATAAAATTCATATATTGTAGAAACTATCTTTTATATTTATACTTCAGGAAAGAAGAAGATTAGAATTATTACAGATGGAAGAGGAAATGTATAATAATCAAGAATCACAAACACAGATAGCTGCTAACACTCAGCTCAGAAGGCAGAAATTATTAGAAAATGTTGCTGAAGTAAGTAATTTTGTACTTTAAAATTAAAATTAGTTGATGGCATTACAGCCAACTAAAAGATGTCTTGCAAATTTCTTAAAATATTTTAAAACTAATGATTCCTTTTACTTAATAGTTCTTATATCCCATATTTTAATACGGAAAGTTTTAATAAATACAACCAACCTGATAATTACTTTACATATCAACAGATAAGGGAATCAGGCTGTTATGTGATCATGGAAATTTTTACAGTATAAAATTATTTCTTAAAAATTTTATAAGATTTGAAAATAATACAATAACTATTTGTTATACAAACTTCTAGACTAATTATCAGTACATGTAAATATCTCTGCTAAATCTTTAATTTCTGGTAAGGTGTAATTTTGTGTATCTTACTGGAAATTAAAGATTTAGCAGTGGTATGTATTTGTTATGTTGAATTTTTTAAAGTTTATTTTTAATTAAAAAACCCAGTTATCATTAGTTATTGTGTCCCTAATAAATTCACTTTTTTTAGGATTGAGTTAAAAATCTGTTTACTGAAATTCACCATTGAAACGTTTGCTATACTGCATATACTATTCCATTCACAATTAATTACATAACTGTAAGTTTGATTAATAATGTAAAGTTTAGTAGCTAAGATGAGTTAAGACATTGTTTTTGTTATTGTATATATTGAACATATGGAAAATAAAGAATTATGGCAATATGAGTGAAACTAACATTAACAGGTTATATTGGCATCAGACATCATTTAGAAAAACATGCATATTCTGAAAACCATTCAGAGTTGTTTGCATAATCATAAGACAAAAGATCTCAAATTCTACTGTTTTGTATAATTAGTACTTGGTTGGGTAGCCTCTGCTATGTAACATTGTATATCAGTTTGGCGTTGAGTTGTTACAACTTTTGGCAATTTGTAACAGAGATGGCATCTCAAACACATTGAATAGTGCTCTTCAGAGCATCCACTGTTTTTTGGGTTTGGATTAACTTTGTTTATTTTGTGCATCATAAGCTTCCACAAAGTGGATCAAATTGCATAAAACATACGACTCACCAACCAATTAACTGGTGTGAATAACGTTTAAGTGACGAACATTTTTGTTACCCCTTTTGAGCACTTCTTCAGGTCTCTTCTTAATTCAAAATAGGCTGGCCGTTGACATTCAAATATAAATCGAATGGTATGGATTTTGAATACGGTGTGCGTATGCGTTCTCTGTAAGATGTTTAAAAAAGATTGGAGATATGCATGCACATACTGTATTCAAAATCCATACCATTTGATTTATATTCAAATGTCAATGGCCAGCCTATTTTGAATTAAGAAAAGACCTGAAGAAGTGCCCAGAAGAGGTAAAGAAAACGTTCGTCATTTAAACTTTATTCACACTGGTTAATTGGTTGTTGCGTCATACATTTTATATACATCCTGGTGTTGTGCAGTTAAATATGAAAGATCAAATTGCAATTGGGAGAATTTCCATACCGTGACAATACATATATCTGATGGTTGGTAAATGATCTTTTGATGTACCTTGAGGTACATTGATGCTTTGATGTGTATGGGACAAGATTCTGCTGGAAGATGTCTTTATCCTCTAAATGTTGTTTTATCAATTCTACTAATTTGTAGTCCAATACACTTTCATATACTTCAGAATTAATAGTTTCCTATATAAATAATAATTACAGTATCCAAGATTTCAAGACATCAACCAACTCCAAACCATGATACTGGCAGGATTCTTTATGTTGTGTTTTGTATAAGTAGTTGTCAGAAGGGATTAACCTCTGGCCCTTTGCTTGTCTCACATTAGTATATTTCATCTCATTGTACTGTATTCTCATTGTAATATATTTATGCAACAAATTAAATACAGGTTTTTAATTAAAATAAAAAGTTTTGTTATAATAGATGTTATTTTTAATTAAAGTGCACACAGTAAAAGTTTAAACATAAAGTAAATAAAAGATCGCAAAAATTAATATTTATTATTAATTACACATAAAAAAATAAATAAAATCAATATAAATCAATAAATGCAAACAAAATATTTATATTTAATAATGCAATTAGATAATGCAAGCAAAATATTTATATTTAATTAAGGAACTAACTGAGAAAGAAAGAAGGATTATTGTGTAAATTAACTGATTCAGGTGGAACAAATATAATAATTATATTTATTTCTTATGGCTGTTTGGTTGCACTTACTTTATAATTATATTAATTTTATAATACTGTATTATTATTGTATTATATTTAAAAGAAACATAAATCAATATATAAAATAATGAATAATGTTATATTTATTACAGCCATTAAATTGTTTCATTAATTCATAATAAAATTTTATTCATTTTTTATGACACACTACTTACTTTACTGAAATTCAGAATTATAATAAATTTGACACTTTTCTGTTTTAAATTTGTAATATTTGTAAATTATAAAAGTCACAAGTCTTGAACTGTTTTTTCTGAGATGCAAGAAAATAAAAATCTTGAAATGTCTTTGAAGTTTTCTCTTGGAAATTTCCAGATTAGAAAACTATTTTGAAGCAGTTAAAATCCATAATTTTTTGAAATAAAGCAGGTGTAAGTTATACCATTTGGACTATGATACAGTCTTTGCTTCCAGACATAATTTAGAATCATATAAATTTACAACTTTTGTTCTTAAAAATTATAGTCAAGGAACTTATATTTATAATATAAATGAAATTCATAAAATCGATGAATACACTTGACTCCAAATTAGTACAGTTAATAAATACACACTGTCTTTCAGTGTTAGTAGACCATTATGCATTTATTCCCATAAATTTGTTTTTATGTACTATTATATGAACTGATTTTATCAAAATTATTATTTTATCTTATGTTATAAAATTATTGTAGAATTCTGATATTCAATCCAATGTGAGCTGATGTTACCTCAGATAAGTGAAAACTTGCATAAAAGAGATGATTGTCAGCATTTTTAGTTAAATGGATATCACAACATACTTCCTTTTTTAACTTATTGTGATATTAGAGAGGTTGAGGCAGACGTTTTAAATGTGTAAACGTGTAGGTCGGACGTTTGGCGCCGCTTTCCCGTAAGCCTAAAAGTTTGACAATGGTGTTTGGATAGTCGGTGGAATCATGCTTGACATTCCAAACACCATCGTCAAACTTCTAGGCTTACGGGAAAGCGGCACCGAACGTCCGTCCTACACGTTTACACGTTTAAAACGTCTGCCTCAACCTCTCTATTAAAAATGAAGACTTATAAAGATGTAATGACATACTGATGACACATTGGCAGACACTAACAATAGTTGAATAGATTGGGAAGTGTACAATTGGGGAGGGATGAATGAATCACATTGACATTCCAACAGTCACTAGCTTCTGTAACAGTTACTCAGTACAATAGGAGTTGAAAGTACTACAGTATTTATATGTTTGGTACATTCAAAGTTTTTTTTTGGATTATAAAAAAATGTAGCGTATTATATTTATTGGGTTGCCTCAGATAATAAGAATCTTGGTTAACAGGACTCAGATAATTGGGATTCTATTGTATTTAATTGTGTGTATAACATATACAATTCATAAACCATCATTTGTTTTGTTTTGAGTATTTTTAAATTAAATAAATTTTAAAAAATTTGATAAAAAGTAACATTAAATATTTCAAAACTTTCAAAAAAAGTTTATCTCAAAGAATTTTATAAACTATAAGTTGGGATTAGGAAAATATCAATTTTTTAAATCTATTTTATTAATATATACATATTGAAAAAACTTAGAACTCAATTGATTTATTCTATCAAAATTATAAAAAACATCAAAAAAGTTAATATTGGGAGTGGGATATAATAATGTAATCTGGTAATCATTTGGCATTAATCTAAAAATTGGGTTAATAGATGTTTGTATTTGTATAAGTTAATGAATTTTCCTCATGATTGTTATTATTCTTATTTGAAAATTATCTGAAATTTGCAAAAAAGTACAATAAGTATCTGATTTTTCTATCAACCTCCAATTGATCCTTGAGTTCCATCAACCATTTTCAAAATTTCATTGACCTCCAGGGGGTCTATATTGATTCTGTTGGGAATTCTTGTTCTATATCATGATAGCTATAGGGCCTTCTTTCATAAATAACTATCCTTATTAAAATCTGACAGACATTATGCTTGCAACAAGATTAAAACTTATTGCTTGGAAAATTGAAAAATATTTCATTGGACTCTACAAATACATAGGATAGAATAAAATTTTGTTTATAAAAATATTGATAATTACATTATAAATTATAGCATTAAATTTTTTGCACAGTCAAAGCGATTTGTTTTCTCTTCAATAGAAATGTGAAATTATTAGATTAAATTATATTTAGAAATTTAAAGTAAGAAATTATCATTTTCATTACAAATATTCGTGAATTAGAATTTATATGTAAAATTACTGAAAATATATTTCAGATTTTAAAAATGTTAAATGAGCTACAAAGGTACAAATCCATAATAATTTTACTATTATATTCTTGTATATGAAGTCATTTTTATATTGTTTAATATGCACTTTTTTAAATTAATTTAGGAACAAGAAAAATTGCATGATGAAATATTACAATTACAAAGTAAAAAGGATAAAGAAAAACAAAATTTGTTNAAATTAAGTGTCTGGAAGGTAAGGGTTAAGATGTAGATCTGGGTAGTGTAACTGGCAACACAATCTGCACAGTAAGCAGCACTTGTGGGTTTGAGTTCTGGGCCGATTCTTTTCTTTCAGAATATTCTAAATTATTTAGTAAATGTTAATTTAATTATAATTATTAACTTTAATACGAGATGGCACCTAACACCTCACTTTAGTGCCAAATTCATTTCTAATTTATAATCATTATAGCCCAATCTGCACAGTAAGCAGCACTTGTGGGTTTGAGTTCTGGGCCGATTCTTTTCTTTCAGAATATTCTAAATTATTTATTAAATGTTAATTTAATTATAATTATTAAATTTAATAAGAGATGGTGCCTAATGCATATCTCTAGTACCAAATTATTTAGAATTTAATTGAAACTAATAGCAGTAAAGTAGCTCAATTTAATCTGGCAGTCATTTGGCATATTATTAAAATATCTGGCTTTAGGATGTTTATATATGTATGATTTAAGTTGTCATTTTCTATGCTCATGATATTCGTAAATCACAATTTAAAATTGTATATTTCTGGCATTAAAGCACATAAATGTATCCATATTTTGGCAATTATAAATGCATAATATTCCAAGCCTTACCTTTATGAATTATTATTTAGTATCTTTACATATTGAAGTTGTTGTCTATTAATGCAATACTAACATATGACAATTGTATTCTTTCATAACAAATGGATATTGAATAGAACTGAAACTCCTTTTTACATTTGTCAAATTTTCAACAGTAGATAGTGGTAATCCTTCCCAAGAGATGATATAGTTTTATTGTGTTTCCAAACTTTATGTGAAAATTCTATTCCAACAGAAACACTAACATATTCAAAACTAGTATATTTTAAATTTTTCATTTGGATTTTCATTTCTGAAAAAATAAAATTTTATAATTTATTTCTTATTGCTATTTCTAGACTGTAAAATATATAATTCAGCAAGATATACAATAAATTCTATTCACGTATAATAATCATCAAAGTCACTAGTTAACACTTCTTGGAGTCATTGGACATAGTTGAACTATGCTTTCTCATTGATTTCTGATTCATAAGTATTGGAAAAAAATCAAGATGATATAGTTTTTATTAGGCATAGTACATAATGATCTTTGAAAAAGATAAAAAAAGTCTGTAATTAAAAAAAGGTTTCGTTGGAGTTTTATGATTATTTTTTAATGTGTTAAATACTAAAATTATCAGTTTATGCTATTACCCTTACCATATCATTAATTCCCAATATTATTGTTACTAGAGATTTTATTATACTGTAATCCAAAAACAGTCATGAGTTTATAAAGCATTTCCATACTTCTTAAATTCAACAAATGTCTCATCAAGCATATTCTTAAACTTTAATATAATAAATTTAAAAATTTTCTTTTCTATTATATGTGTTTTTAACATTAGGAACTTTCTTTGGAAACAAATTTTAAGATATATCATTTGATCCCATTTTGTGGATATAAAAACTGATTTGCTTTGTTTAGCATTTATAAATTGATAATTTGAAATCTTATGAAATTGTTTTAGGATTCATTATTACCATAGAGCAATGTATTTAAGGTTTATAGAATTTATTATACAAGGATTTTAACAATAAATACAAATAATATATTTGTGGTTTGCAATAAAAAATTAATTATGATTTCATTTTAATTACTATATTTTATTTCTTTACTGCACCTGTTATAATTTTTCATTTTAAAGCAAGTTATTTGTTGGATGTTATAATGTCCCACAATAAAATAAATTTTCAAATATAGCATTTGTTATAATTCTTCTCTCTTTTTTTATGAATATTGTGTTATATAAAATTCATATATTGTAGAAACTATCTTTTATATTTATACTTCAGGAAAGAAGAAGATTAGAATTATTACAGATGGAAGAGGAAATGTATAATAATCAAGAATCACAAACACAGATAGCTGCTAACACTCAGCTCAGAAGGCAGAAATTATTAGAAAATGTTGCTGAAGTAAGTAATTTTGTACTTTAAAATTAAAATTAGTTGATGGCATTACAGCCAACTAAAAGATGTCTTGCAAATTTCTTAAAATATTTTAAAACTAATGATTCCTTTTACTTAATAGTTCTTATATCCCATATTTTAATACGGAAAGTTTTAATAAATACAACCAACCTGATAATTACTTTACATATCAACAGATAAGGGAATCAGGCTGTTATGTGATCATGGAAATTTTTACAGTATAAAATTATTTCTTAAAAATTTTATAAGATTTGAAAATAATACAATAACTATTTGTTATACAAACTTCTAGACTAATTATCAGTACATGTAAATATCTCTGCTAAATCTTTAATTTCTGGTAAGGTGTAATTTTGTGTATCTTACTGGAAATTAAAGATTTAGCAGTGGTATGTATTTGTTATGTTGAATTTTTTAAAGTTTATTTTTAATTAAAAAACCCAGTTATCATTAGTTATTGTGTCCCTAATAAATTCACTTTTTTTAGGATTGAGTTAAAAATCTGTTTACTGAAATTCACCATTGAAACGTTTGCTATACTGCATATACTATTCCATTCACAATTAATTACATAACTGTAAGTTTGATTAATAATGTAAAGTTTAGTAGCTAAGATGAGTTAAGACATTGTTTTTGTTATTGTATATATTGAACATATGGAAAATAAAGAATTATGGCAATATGAGTGAAACTAACATTAACAGGTTATATTGGCATCAGACATCATTTAGAAAAACATGCATATTCTGAAAACCATTCAGAGTTGTTTGCATAATCATAAGACAAAAGATCTCAAATTCTACTGTTTTGTATAATTAGTACTTGGTTGGGTAGCCTCTGCTATGTAACATTGTATATCAGTTTGGCGTTGAGTTGTTACAACTTTTGGCAATTTGTAACAGAGATGGCATCTCAAACACATTGAATAGTGCTCTTCAGAGCATCCACTGTTTTTTGGGTTTGGATTAACTTTGTTTATTTTGTGCATCATAAGCTTCCACAAAGTGGATCAAATTGCATAAAACATACGACTCACCAACCAATTAACTGGTGTGAATAACGTTTAAGTGACGAACATTTTTGTTACCCCTTTTGAGCACTTCTTCAGGTCTCTTCTTAATTCAAAATAGGCTGGCCGTTGACATTCAAATATAAATCGAATGGTATGGATTTTGAATACGGTGTGCGTATGCGTTCTCTGTAAGATGTTTAAAAAAGATTGGAGATATGCATGCACATACTGTATTCAAAATCCATACCATTTGATTTATATTCAAATGTCAATGGCCAGCCTATTTTGAATTAAGAAAAGACCTGAAGAAGTGCCCAGAAGAGGTAAAGAAAACGTTCGTCATTTAAACTTTATTCACACTGGTTAATTGGTTGTTGCGTCATACATTTTATATACATCCTGGTGTTGTGCAGTTAAATATGAAAGATCAAATTGCAATTGGGAGAATTTCCATACCGTGACAATACATATATCTGATGGTTGGTAAATGATCTTTTGATGTACCTTGAGGTACATTGATGCTTTGATGTGTATGGGACAAGATTCTGCTGGAAGATGTCTTTATCCTCTAAATGTTGTTTTATCAATTCTACTAATTTGTAGTCCAATACACTTTCATATACTTCAGAATTAATAGTTTCCTATATAAATAATAATTACAGTATCCAAGATTTCAAGACATCAACCAACTCCAAACCATGATACTGGCAGGATTCTTTATGTTGTGTTTTGTATAAGTAGTTGTCAGAAGGGATTAACCTCTGGCCCTTTGCTTGTCTCACATTAGTATATTTCATCTCATTGTACTGTATTCTCATTGTAATATATTTATGCAACAAATTAAATACAGGTTTTTAATTAAAATAAAAAGTTTTGTTATAATAGATGTTATTTTTAATTAAAGTGCACACAGTAAAAGTTTAAACATAAAGTAAATAAAAGATCGCAAAAATTAATATTTATTATTAATTACACATAAAAAAATAAATAAAATCAATATAAATCAATAAATGCAAACAAAATATTTATATTTAATAATGCAATTAGATAATGCAAGCAAAATATTTATATTTAATTAAGGAACTAACTGAGAAAGAAAGAAGGATTATTGTGTAAATTAACTGATTCAGGTGGAACAAATATAATAATTATATTTATTTCTTATGGCTGTTTGGTTGCACTTACTTTATAATTATATTAATTTTATAATACTGTATTATTATTGTATTATATTTAAAAGAAACATAAATCAATATATAAAATAATGAATAATGTTATATTTATTACAGCCATTAAATTGTTTCATTAATTCATAATAAAATTTTATTCATTTTTTATGACACACTACTTACTTTACTGAAATTCAGAATTATAATAAATTTGACACTTTTCTGTTTTAAATTTGTAATATTTGTAAATTATAAAAGTCACAAGTCTTGAACTGTTTTTTCTGAGATGCAAGAAAATAAAAATCTTGAAATGTCTTTGAAGTTTTCTCTTGGAAATTTCCAGATTAGAAAACTATTTTGAAGCAGTTAAAATCCATAATTTTTTGAAATAAAGCAGGTGTAAGTTATACCATTTGGACTATGATACAGTCTTTGCTTCCAGACATAATTTAGAATCATATAAATTTACAACTTTTGTTCTTAAAAATTATAGTCAAGGAACTTATATTTATAATATAAATGAAATTCATAAAATCGATGAATACACTTGACTCCAAATTAGTACAGTTAATAAATACACACTGTCTTTCAGTGTTAGTAGACCATTATGCATTTATTCCCATAAATTTGTTTTTATGTACTATTATATGAACTGATTTTATCAAAATTATTATTTTATCTTATGTTATAAAATTATTGTAGAATTCTGATATTCAATCCAATGTGAGCTGATGTTACCTCAGATAAGTGAAAACTTGCATAAAAGAGATGATTGTCAGCATTTTTAGTTAAATGGATATCACAACATACTTCCTTTTTTAACTTATTGTGATATTAGAGAGGTTGAGGCAGACGTTTTAAATGTGTAAACGTGTAGGTCGGACGTTTGGCGCCGCTTTCCCGTAAGCCTAAAAGTTTGACAATGGTGTTTGGATAGTCGGTGGAATCATGCTTGACATTCCAAACACCATCGTCAAACTTCTAGGCTTACGGGAAAGCGGCACCGAACGTCCGTCCTACACGTTTACACGTTTAAAACGTCTGCCTCAACCTCTCTATTA